CAACTGCCCTCAGTGATTATGATTGACTTATTATTATTATTATTATTGTGTTTCTGTTGCTAAAAATAAATAATATTCAATCAATAAATAGGTCAATTGTTAACCCATTTAATAACTCCATTCTCAAACAGCTCACCAATATTATTCAATAAAACTGATATTAAAAATTTGAGATTTTTTGAAGTTGGATGTTTTGTACGTTCTTACAAAAAGACCGATTTAATAAGTTGTAGCTTTGTAGCCTTTTCTGAATAACTTGAATATTTAATACATTAAATTTATTTAATTTTTTTTTTTATTTCATCTTTTGGTATGTATGCTAAACTATTTCACGTTTATTTAATAATGAATTTCAGTTCAGATCATAAATCCGCTGTAAATATCACTTTGCATAGGTAATTTACATTATTTTCAGAATAATAATGTAATAATAATAATGATTATATTATATATGTAAAACATTAATAACTTTTGACAAACGATATTAATGTCATAGAAAAAACTGCTCTTGGCTTCCTAGTTCGTGTGAGCCCAAAGTTAATATTGCAGGTTAAAAGAAAAATGACCTATTGACAGACAAGAAAACAGTAAATCAATAATAATATTTCATATTAAATTCATTGAATAAATTTTATAATTTATCTTATATAGTACATAATGATAACTACATAATTATTATTTAAACATGATCTCCAACTAGGTATCTTAGATAACATTATGAATTTATTTATAAAATAGCTTAGAGCACAACTTTAAGAATAGATTATTTTATATGCAATTTATTAAAAAAATAATTATAATATTATTAAATAATGTCAGTGTAATTCAAGGTAGTCTGTCTTGTATTGGCTAGCAAAATTGTGGTTTTTGGTTCGTTTAGGGTTGTGTTATTTGGTCAAAACAAACTTGCATTAAATTAATTAATTTAATTATTAATCATCATCAATATTTATTTATTACTTTTTCCAAAATTTCTAAACATATTTCAAATTCAATATACAGTCTTATTAATTCATTTATATATTATAGTTTGATATCTAATCAGAAGTTTTTGCTTCTCTGGATAATTCTTTATAGTTAGAATCATAAAATACATCTGAATATTCCACATAGCAACATTTCTAAATCTGGTCTACAAAAATAGCGCAGTATCAAAAAGAAAATAAACAACATTAAATAATTTAAATTAAATTCATATAAAATATAGAAGAGTTAACAAATCGTCGTGAAAATTATGCATGAAATGTATGTAATATCTAATTTAAGTTGACCTAGATTCCTTTGATAAATGAACATGACATGATATTAATTATGATAACAATAATATAAATAAATTATTCTTATTAAAGCATACTCGACACGACCGCGTTTAATCGTTATTAACGAAAAAGATCTAGGGAGTATTTAAAATTCCACGAGCACATAATTTATCTTACTCTGAAATATATTATGGAAAGTCACTTCCGTATTTCAAAAAAGAAATCAAGTATTTTACATTTTAATCTTCTCAAAGTAATATGGCTTCGTGATGAACCCATTCGCTTGTTGAATATTTGATGAAGCTGTTAAAATTTCGAGTTTTTAACTCTCACAGAATATATTAAGAGTTCGGGGTAGTGTTTGATATATTGCGGCCGCAGCTCAAATGCACTTGCCTTAATAATGCTGCTAATGAAAAAGTTTAATTATATTTGACAACGATAAATTGCAACTGTATAATCGTAGAATATCCTGGTAATAAATGATGATTTATTCGCTCTATGTTCGGTGGATTTCACATAAGCGAAAGATTTATAATATAATAAATTTTGGATATTATCATTTAATTATCCAATGAGCTTTACAGTGAATTATTGTGAAATTATTTATAATGATTTTTGTAATCTAGTCTCTTAAAAGCTTTGTATGTATAGATCGAGTTTTACTGGTATCTGGGTTTTATTGTTTATATATAGTTCAAATTCAAGCTCAAAAGTAAGGTCCGTTGGTCCTGGATTTTGTGGCCGAGAACTTATATTTATTCCATTATTATAACATCTTTTATTTTATTATAATGATATAATATACTATCTCATAGGGTAAAGCGGTGCTGAAAACTCCACGGCTAAAAAGGTCCACCACCGATATCTCACAAGCAACTAACATTTTTTATGAATATTTGAAAGTAAAGGGAAAAAATGTATAACCAGCCATAATCTTGATTCTTACAATGTCGCTATCAGATGCTAAATAACAATGTTTGAAAATCCATAACAAAGGTATTTTCTTTTGTTGTCATTTGTTTTGGTTGTGAGCACTGTTGTTTAGATTAGGAGACCTTAATATAAATTTTAATTATATATTCATTAATTGTTTTATTAGAAGTATTATTAATTTTAAATTAGATTCAACTTTTTTTTTATATATCCTGTATAAAAGTTTACACGTGAGTGAAAACGACCAACGTGGGGGTGAAAAGGACCAACTGAACCTTTATCCTGGTTTACTATGTAAACCAGGGGTCGGCAACCTTTTAACTGTGGTGTGCCAAGCCACTGTACCAATATGATTCAGAGTGCCGCCTTAATTCTGAACAAGGACGTAGCGTGCATTGGCGGGGCCCCGTATCACAATTTTTTTGGGGATAAAGTTTCTGCTTCTATGAACAATAATGATCTGAGTGCTGTTTGTGTATCATAAAAGTATTTAACTTCCTGAAAAAAATGTTCAAATTTTTTTGCCAGAAAATGTTTGTTTACAACGATAGGCTGAGCCGATTTCTCGAAATTAGGAGAAGAGTGCTAAAATTTTCGCCCTCGTTTCAAAATCAAGAACTGTTCGGATTATATTCCCCGGACCTCTTTTTCTTTTGAAAAATCAAAAAATTTGGAATAAATCTAAATTCTTATTGATTGTGTCGATTATTTACACATATTGGGATATACAAGCAAAGTTTCCTAAGACTTACAACTAATTAGCTAATTTTGTGTCAGTTTTATTTTTGAAAAACTTTTTTCAGCATTTGCGGTTGAAACTGGGTAAATTGTATGCAAAAATTACTTGGGGAAAATTTTAAGCAAAAGTATTGAATTTTGACAGCGATATAATAAATATTGAATTTCATATTTAGACATATTTTTCGAGTGTTTACAATTGGTTATAAAAATTAACACAGATGATCTTACTGTATTTAGACGAAAGTTTCATGAAGACAGGTGTTTTTGCTAAATTACTCAAGTTGTAATTATTTGAACATACTAATTGAGTCAAAGTCTCTGATCTTTGTTTAATTTCAGAAATTAATATGTATATTTAGCAATTAGTATATGTTGAGTTTGAAACAAGATTACGGGTTGCTATACTTTGACTTTTGTTTTTGAAAACAGTCGTTTACGCTCCATTCCTTTGATAATTTTTCGAGACATTTAGCAAACTGCTGAATTAATTTTAATTTTTTAATTTGCACAAAATGACTTAATAAAATGCTAGTTTTCTATTCTATCGCAATCGCAACTCTCTTTATATTTTTACATTTTACACGCTCATGTTTTATTCGAAATTAAATTTAGTTGCAAGGAAGTTTTCATGATTATTTTAACTTTTGTTATTTGTAAAATAAGATAAAAATTCGTAAGATTCTATTATTATTTGGGCAGGTTGGGCCCCCATGGCCCGGAAAAATACACTTTAAAACATTAATTTTACATTTCTCTTAATGAAATTAAATTTCACTGAACAAATTTTTCACGATTAATTCACTTTTTGTGAAATAATTTTTTTATTATCAATATTTGCTTACGGACGTTGGGGGCCCCCCTGGCTTGGGGCTGATATGGCTGATACGGCGGTAGTTACGCCCCTGATTCTGAAATATATAATAATGATCTAGGAGAGATGAATTAAAACCAAATTTATCTTTTAAACATATTTATTAACAAATAACCTACAATTCTAACATAAACTAAACAATTTTAATGTGAACCTTGTCCTTGTACATTTTTGCTTAACAATTCAATATCCGGGGTATAATTTGTTACTTTTAATTTCACACATGATTCTGAATGTTCAGTTGTTAAACGACTTCTTTGTGAACTCAAAATATTTTTCATGTGTGAAAAAATTTGTTCACAAAGATATGTGGAACCAAAAGCTGAAAGGAGAGCGCATGCAATTTTCTTTAAACAAATAAATCTTTCCGGAAATGACATCCAACAATTTAATATGACCGTCGATTTTTCTATAGAGTCATCTTCTAGATTTTTTCGTAGTTCTTTAAATTTTGTTTTCCATAATTCTGACGATGTTAGTTCGATAATTTCTATTTCGAAATTATCAACATTCATCCACTCGAAAATTGGACAATCAAACGGTATTGTTGATGAATCTAAATCTGGCTGTATGAGGAAGGAAAATATAGGCACATAAGCTTCAAAATCTTTGCATCTTTTGCAAAATTCATCTTTAAGTGCTTCAACGTAGGTTTTGAGTTCATTGTTGTTTACGGTCGATTCATTTGCAAGCGCTCTCACATTTGGGAAGTATTTGTAGGTGCTCGTGTTAATATCACGTAAAAATATATTTAATTTTGACGCAAATGCTGTCCAATATTCAAATAATTCGAGCACCGTTTGGCGCTTTCCTTGCAATTTCAAGTTTAGTTCATTTAGATGATTTGTTACATCGGTCAGAAACATTAATTTGCCTAACCATTCTTCATCGTTCAATTCGGGGAAATGTTGTTCCTTTTCGTTAAGAAAAACTTTGATGGGTTCCAGACATGACACAAACTTATTTAAGACATTGCCTCGACTAAGCCAACGAACATGGCTGTATGAGGGAAGGTCAACATATTCACTTTCCATTTCTTCTAAAAGAGATTTAAATTGTCTGTGTGTTAGTGAAGAGCGAGACACTATAAAATTAACTATTTTAACAACAGTGTTCATTACAGGAATTAAGCGCTGTGACAAAATTTTGGCAACTAAACTTTCCTGGTGTATTATACAATGAAAGTTCAATATTTAATGTCCAATATGATTTTCAAGAAGTTTGACAAATCCTCTATCTTTGCCAATCATTGCAGCTGCGCCGTCAGTAGTTACAGAAAATATTTTTTTGACATTAATGTTCTTGCTGTCAAAATAACTTATGAATGAAAAAAGAATACCCTCCCCCTTAGTTGTCCCTGGCAGAGGAATCAAAGTACACAATTCTTCATAAACTTGATCTTTATCACAATACCGTGCAAATACTGCAAGCCGCGCAATATCATTTACGTCGGTACTTTCATCAACAGCAACACTAAATGAAACAGCTTCTTGTAATCCAGCATTCTGTTTTGTTGTTACATTGTCTGCCATTTCAGTTATTCTTCTTTCAATTGTTCGCGCAGAAGCCGGTATTTCTTGAATTCGGGATAATATGGTTTGTTGGTTAGGTAAATCGCTAAACAACTTTTCAGCACTTTTTATAAAAATTTCCTTTATATATTCTCCATCTGTAAAGGGTTTGCCTTTGGCAGCTATGCAATGAGCAATTGCGAAGCTGCATTCTGTCGCTTTAACCTTCGTTCCAGTCATTCCACAAAAAAAAAGTTATTTGTTTCTTATAACAAGAAACAGCTTTCTTTATAGTTTCACATTTCTCATCATTGCTATTAAATGTGGACTGATGTTTGGTTTCGAAATGTCTTTGTATACTTGACGTGCGGCATACTACACTTTCGCGGCATATCGCACATACAGCACGATCCTTTTGTTGTATAAATCCCTATTCATTCGTCCAACAGTCTTGAAAACCGCGAACATCTAATTTTTGTTTCTTACTCTCCATTTGATTAAATACGAATGAATTATAACAAATATAAAATCAATAAGATACAAGTCTTTACAAAAAAGTTAGAACGAAAAGTAGCGACCAAACGAAATGCAAGTTTAACTGCGCAAGTTTAAGCTCACCGCACAAGCACACAAGCAAATGGTGCGCAGCACTCGCAGTTGATAAACGAGAAAGAGGGGGGCGAGTGATACTCCAACATTCAGCTTCGTGAAGGCCGCTTCGATAACTACTCGGCACTGCACATGTTTCATCCCTTTTACTCCGAATGCGGTCTCAATCAACCTTCGCGCAGATTTTCATGAAATTAGCGAACCACATTATAATCAAACTTTCTCTCTTATTTTCAACATTTTCTTTTATTTAAAAATCACTTCGTCTCGATATATTTGCGATTTTCCTAATTCCTTTGTAGCGTGCCATTCAGAATCCCTTCGCGTGCCAAGCCTGGCACGCGTGCCGTAGGTTGCCGATGCCTGATGTAAACCATAAAAAATAGTAAATAGATGAATGAATAATTATTCCAACTCTGCTGATGAATATTTCTGACAAAATACCAGATCAAGGTTATACACAGTGTTACTTCTGTGAAAATGTACTCATAAAATTTATATTTTGCATTGGTTTAATATTGCAGCTATTATTCTGTAAAATTCCTTTAACATTAAAAACAAGACTGTGGTCCTGCTTCATCAGCAGGGTTGGAATAACAACTATTTTTATTTAATGAGTTTTTTTAACTTAATTTAGATTACTATTTAAATTGTTTACGCCATTACTAGGGTAAAAGTTCAGTTGGTCCTTCATACTCCACCCTAAGTTACTCTATAAATTATAGACTCTCCACAGACGTAAACTGTTCGAAAAGTTTTAAAAAGTGAGGTGAATTGAGAAGAAAAAATATATTAATAAAGTTGAAAATGTAAAAAGTTATATAAAAAGAAAACAAAAACTACTGGAAACAATTTCGAGACAAAAAGACACAAAAACGGCAAAGATAACTGGATTAAACTCATAAAGATAATAGAGTAAACGTACGTGGTGTTATTGAGGAGGAAATATGAAAAACTAAGTGAGCTTCGAGAAAATCGATGTTTTACCACTTGACTGAAAATAGAAAGCTTTGATACCTATAAGTAAACAATGTACATAGGTTTTCTATTAAAAAGGAAGAAGAAAAAAGGTAGTGAATACATGTTAATTATCCATATATCCCCAAAACTAGTGATTTTTTTTAAATTAAAAATGACACATTGGATCTGTTTGCCCCTTTGTTGTCTGGCTTTTATCCCGCTTATGGAATAAATGACAAATTTTAGAAAAATCTTAAAAAAAACGTCTTTATCTTGAAAAAAAAACAAGGGCGTACCTTGGATTTAACTGAACACAGTTCGATAGTTGTTTGTTTGATACGTGTTATGTGTTGTGATGTAGCTCATTTGGTTTTAGACTGTGTAATTACTGAAAGTCAAGTTGGACCTTCATGCCTCGCCTATATATCATTTTATTGTCATGTATTTTAATACTACAACAAATCATTATTCTATATTTACCGTAATTGAGCAACCGCCGCCAAATTACTTTATGAAAATTCAAGGCAATCTGCCTCCAAATGCCCTGGTGTTATACATCCATAATTCCTTTCTGATACTCAATTCAATACGAAATAAAAGAAGTTCAGAGGGACCTTATATCGGCTGTATTGGTGTTTCTAAGACATTTATTATTCAGCACCCAAAGGCCGTTTTCGTTTATATTCTTTGCGGCGAGAACAGTGAAGAGGATATGCAAATAAATTGCGTTTTCGGGGACGTTATCAGAGGACAGAAATCTAATACTTTGTTTGACACTCTTTATTCCGAAGGAAACTGGATTGACGTTTTGCAACCACAGCCCAGAAATAATGATAAGGTTGAATATATATCAAACTTATTTTTATATCGGTTCAATTTTTGAAGATATCTAAGGTAAAGGATAAGTCGGAAGTATTGGTAGATACTTCTTATATATCGTCAAATCTTTTTTGATATTACCGTTTAGCTTGTAGCGTGCAATCTGTGTGAATATTCAAATGATTAAATGCAAAGTGCGGTTAGGTTTTAGCAACTATCCACACTATTCGATATTTCTCTAAAGAAACCATACATACTATTATACATCGTTAAAAAGGTCTCAAAATTCTTCGTGCTTTTCCCATACATCAAAACTCCGAATTTCGCACATTGTGGCCTACAGGCGAGTTGCAGTTAAAAAATTCAAGAAAAGCTCTGTTAATAGTAAACCAATAATAATTAGTAATAAATCAAAAATGATTTACATAAATAATAATAAATAATGGGTGCTCTACCCCAAGGCAATTCCTTGAGCTGAGTTAAACTCCAACTCGAATTAGGGAAAATTGTGTGAGAAGTTTCTCGTTGCCATTTCACACCGCAGTGCCCAAAAAGAGTTATTTTAACTCATATAATATAATTTCATACATGATACAATACAGCAGTTTGTAAAAGTTTTTAAAAGTTTGTAAAAGTTGTTTGATCCATTTTGTAATTTTTTTGACTATCTTGACAAGAGCCTCAAATAATATCTATTATTATTGTATACGGCTTGCTTATGAATAAATAAATAAATAAATAAATAAATAAATAAATTTGTTTGGCATTCGTAGATTCTTGTCATATTTTGCTTTTTATTTTTTGCAAAAATAAAGACATCTTAAGCGAACAAAAAGTTATACTTTGTTAAAGGTGATAAAGCATTAAGAAAAAGGCAGTGTTAAAATGGGTTTCTCAAATTTCGTTCTTTTGATTTTTAACTTCCCGTGAGGTAAGTTATAGTAATTGCAAAAAAAACGAAAATGAATTTTTTTTTCTTTATATATCTTTACGTTTCTGAGGTTTCTGAACATTTTTGCATACCTTAGAAAAAATGGATGTGTGTGTATGTGTCTGTGGGTGTGCGTGCGGATACAATTTTTTCTGGGCGATATCGCAAACACCGATCAACCGATTTGAATAATTAAAATTCGTTTCATATTGATAAGGAGGCGTGCTGATTAGTTTTTGGCAAAGGCACTTCCAGCCGGTTGTAAGATACGGGGCAAAAAGTGCCAAAAACGGTAATTTAGTTTTTAAGAGAAATGAGTAACATCGTTTGTCCGTTAGACGGCGACGCAGCGCTTATGCGCTTTGATAATTTGTCTCTATTTGCTACGGGAAATTCCAGCAATTTGCTTTATGGCACGATGCCATACACCACTAGTTTACTCAATTATCAAAAATACTTTGCTCATCTGGTTGAAGTTGATTAAAAAGAAATTGCTTGAACTATTCTCATCAAACGAATGATCAATACTGATATCTACATTAAGCAACTAACGAAGCTAGTCAATACAGTTGAAAAAAATTGGCTTGAATTGGAAAATCAAAATTGTGATTTACCCCATTATTGACATAACACTTTTTGGCCACTCACCACAAATTCTTAAAGCTTGGTTGTGATATTTTGTCAAAGTGACAATTGAATTTGCATTGCAATGAACTGATTTCTTAATTTTCTTTACATTTCTATTTTCTTTTCCATTATAATGATGATGAAACATTTACAAGGTGAAAAATATGTAATAGTTAACAAATATCTCTTTTTACCGACATCTATACAATTATTAAAAAGAAACAGAACTAATTTATATATGAAAACACTTACTTGCATCAATAAAAATGTTGTCACATATAAGACATACATAATATAGATCTTTTATGATTGTAACAAGTTTTTGAATTGGTAAAATATTGTTAAGTATACAAAATTATTTTAAGTTTTTGAACAAATAATTTTGATCCTTGATATCTTACAAGAGCATAAACTTATTTTACCAGCATTAAACCGCTGTAACATAGTTTTCTCGAAAAGGAATACTCTACTTTTTCTCTTGTCAAAGGAACTATCAATGTGTTACTGGAAGAGATTCACTTTGGACTTCAGTATAGTTATTTTATCACTGAGTATCTAAATTCCACCTTTGAAGAAGGATTGAGATTCCGAATACAAGTGGGGATAAAACCTTGAGATAGACCAGCATAGTACATCTCGTTAGAGCTCATCATCAAACTGCAGTCAGAACACACGACTGCAAATTGAACCAAGTGGGTAATACAAATGATGATGAAGATAATTCTATGCTGTTTGATTACGAACGAAATACCATACATTTTTACTTTAAAATTTAAAATTTACAATTTCGTGTGGTAAGTTATAGTAATAGCAAAAAATCAAAAATGAAAATTTTTGTTTTTAATTTACGTTTTAAATTTTTCTGAACATTTTGGCATACTTTAAAAACATGAATTTAGTTGTATATATGTGGGTATGTAGTATGAGCATATGTATGGATCAATCGATTTGAATGATTCAAAAAACATCCGATTATTGAGTTATATAGTTATTCATATATAAAATATGAAAACTGTTTTTTATAATCTCTCATACCAGGCACCACTGTCTGACTGAGATATGAAAATAATGTATATATATAAATAAATATAAATAGTTTCTAAAAAAAATAGATCTAAAAATAATGATGCACAGATCTAGAAAACATGACAGGTAGACAGATAGACAGGTGATCAAGTTGAGAGGTAGACCAGCAGACAATTAGATCAATGAAAGGATAGAGATATACACAGGGTAACAGGTAGACAGAATAATGGTGACAGGTTGACAGACAGGCTGATGCTCAAGCCGACAA